TATGTTTTTACTTACAAAGATTAGAATGCATTGTTTCATCGGTTGAGTATCCTCGATGTTTAGGATATTTTAGGCCATAAACCCAATAACACCTCACGAGATTCGTCCAGTTTAGGAGACTTAGGATAGTCCTAAATACAGATTCTAAGTTAAAAATGCAAAACAATAGTTATAATAAAAGTATAATAATTAACAATAAATCAAATTTAAAAGTTACGGTATTCGATAGACTAACTAGTAGAACCAATATTCTTAATAAAAACAACAACAACAATATTGTACACTTTGCTTATGGAACACACAAATACTAGGTGTCTTGAACCACCGTCTTAAAGTATATGTCTTTGGAGATTAAATATATAGTTTAGAACACAATTATATAAAGCTTTAAAGATGGAAATGAAATAGCAGGGATGCATAAAAAATTTTACGGAGCTCAGTTGAAGTATTATTCTAAATCTCTGCATGCTGAATTCTAATGAAGTTTGTGGACAGAATATTCTTCGTGATTGTCGCTTCTCATGAATTTGTTGTTGCATGTGAAAGCTTTGAAAACATTGTTTAACAACAAAACAACAGTTTCTCGATTTGTCAAAGTATAAAACAGTTATAATTTGTTTTTCACATTGACAAAGCACAGAGGAAAACGTTAGGTAGCTTCAGCTAAAGTTGAGCAGTATTACAACCCTTTCACTTAAAAAAACGTAACTGGGTTAAAAATCTGTATTTGACATTATAGACACCTTTTTACGTCCTATTAATGAATAATAATAATTTAGTACTAGTATTAAAATACTGTTTTATTCCGTGTTTTAGATTTGTGACTTAAATACAAAACACGATAACTTTAGCCGTTTCTGTAAGTGAGAGAGGAAGTGGTGAAAACTTTTGTTTTTGTTGTTGATCTTAAATTTCATGCAAAGCTACTTATCTCATTATCTTCGCCGTCCCAACTTTTGAAGTGATAGAGTAGAGGAAAGTAAACACCACCCTCTGCCAACTCTTCGGCTACTCTATATCAACGAATAGTAGAATTAACCGTACGTTATAATATCTCTTCAGAAAGCACGTTTGGCGAAGGGTTTCATTCCTGCGACCCACAAATTGCAAGTCGAATGCCCTGACCACCAATCCATGTAGAGAAGATTAAAAAATAAAAATACAGTGAAAGTGTTAATCTGGTCTTAGTTTAATGACAAACAGTTTTTCTCCTGTAATATATTAACACTCAATAATATAACATAAGAATAAAAAACGACTCACAACCACGAATTATGTTTTTTACAATGGAGTTTCTCTGTGTGATATTAGAAAAGATGTTTCCACCCTACCTTAATGTATTCGAACTCCTTGTCCAACGAGATTATGAAAATCAAAATGTTATCGGTTAAGTCAAAGAATTAACCTACTATATTCTTCTAATATAGCACTTTTAACTAATTAAGCTATCTATTAACCGTTACTTACTACTTGTAGATAGCTACACAATGGGCTATCTGCCCACCACGGGTACAGAAACCCGGTTTCTAGCGTCGTAAGTCCACAAACATGCCGCTGTGCCACTGGGGAGGGCGAAAAATTAATGTGCTAAAGATAAGAGAATAGCAGTTTGGGTGATGAAATTTGAACTAATGTGACCAAAAAAATCTAAATGGTTTTAATTCAAAAAATCAAATAGCTGAAAAAAGTAAATTAAAGTCTCAAGTGGGCAAATGTAAAAATCAGAGAAGAGGGAAGACTCAAGAAAATAGTTAATACATTTTAATTAAAAAAGTCCAGAGTTAAGCTTCTAATTAGAGATATATTCAACTTATAAACAACTATTTTAGTATCTATCGGGTGTAACGTTGAAGTTCTAGCAATAAACAGCTGCCTACAACCTCAAACTTTAGAACTTAGCATGTTTTTCTTACTTGAATCAGGGCAAGATAACACTTTTTAGTCTGACTGAGATTTTTTTATAAAAGTTCTTACCTGAAAAAATATATTAAGGATGCTAGAGTCAATGCAATCACTAACGTAGATTAAGAGAATTTGATGTAGGAGAGTTACTGACACTCCAAAATTAGTCATTGACGACTTGAAGTAGATATCACTAAAGCTAAAGCTATAAATTGATTAATCGGAAACATAAGTACTTTTGATGAATTATTTTCATTGTTGTTATATATATTATATATATTTTCGTCGTTGTTGTTTGTTATTAAGCACAAAGCTACACAAAGGGTTACCTGTGCTCCACCCACCACGGTATCAAAACCCGATTTCTAGCGGTATAAGTCCGCAGACATACCGCTATGCCACTGGGGTACTACATATTTTATATTATTAAACAATCAGTATATATATGTAACTGTAACTTTCGCATTATAGTGTTTCAAAGTGAAAAACCGCACTTTAATATAAAAGAAATATTCCCCCAAAATTGAAAATATTTAGGTTTGATAAAACTTGTCAAATAAATAACTTTCGAAGTACTTTGATTGAAACTGTTCATTGCAAAATCTACAAATGTGATATCTGCAATGAAGAGCAAGATGCAATGTTTTAGTACCTGTTTTGCGATATCTATCTTTCGATATATGTAATAATTATAGATCACCACCAAATATGAATAATAATAATATAAGTATTCCCAAACATCACAGCCCACGCTATGACAATTCACAAACTGTATAGTTTCATAATGTTCTATGAACATTCACAACAACTTGGCTTAGATGTATAGCTTAACAATGTTCCTGTTACCATTCACAATCGTTTGATCTAACTATCGACGTAGTTTTTCTACACACATTCACAAAAATAGCTTCATTTTAGGCCCAAGAAAATAGAATAGATGGCATACATGGGAACGTTTTTAATCAGCTGTTCCAATGTCCTTTCTTGGAAAAAGAATCCTACCTAAAGTCCTTAACGAAAGTCAATAGAAGTTCCCAAACCAGAACGTAAAATTGCAGCTTTGATTTAATTCTAAAGAGTGAATTATTTTGCATATATTAAGTAATTTATTCAGAGTACTTGAAAAAGAATATTCCCCTATAATTATAAAATACATATTCTAATACTAAATAATTCTAAACTTTGGTGAACTTTTCTTACATTTGTTTATGGAATTCTCTTTACTATCAACTCGTTTCTACCGTATATATTTAATCAATTTCCTCACGGTAACTCACCAATATTAAGAATATCACACCCATACATAACTTTATTGAAGCCGTTTGACGCTTTTCAGTGCGCAACAGCACAATGCTAATATTACGTATAAGCGCCGAATTTGTAAAAATGTACTTGAGTTGAAAGATTCCTTATAGAATAATAATTTTAAGTAATGTAATTGTAAGTTAAAACATTTCAGAGGCAAATGGAGTCTCTGACAATGACACTAAGAGTAAAATAAAATCAGAATTAAGATAATGTTATGCATTGAAAATAAATGATCCCTTGAGAAAACCCTTAGAGAACCTTAAAGAAAAATATTTCATGAAAATTGATCAGTGTTTTTAGGGAAAATATCTTAAAACTTATATATGAATAAGTTTACATACGCAAAAAAAACACTTCGAGAACGGCACCTAAATAAAAAGATTGAAAATTAATCAGCATGTATTCCCTAACACACCGTGAAAGTCAATCAATAACTATTCTCAAACATAAAATGAAAATTAATCATCAACTGTTCTCAAATATAACATGAAAATCGATCAACAACTATTCCCAAGCACAACAATAAATTTAATCAACAACTATTCTCAAACACATAATGGAAATCAATTAGCATCTACATCTAAACACACAACTATATCTAAACACAACACAAAAATCAATCAGCAGCTATTTCTAAACACACAAGGAAAGTCAATTTACAACTATATCCAAACACAACATAAAAATCAATCAGCAGCTGCTCCCAAACAGAGCGTGAAGATCAGTCAGCAACTATATCCAAGCACAACATGAAAATCAATTAGTAACGATTCTCAAACACAGGATAAATATTCCCAAACATAACATGAAAATCATCCGAAAGTTAATGAATGAAGATAAGTTTGATAACGCTGTTCAAAAAAAGAATAAAAAACCAAATTGTTTGTTTCCTTGATATCTAGGTCAAAAATGTGTTTAGAAAATGTAAATATCTTTATTAGTACATAAAGTATAACTATTCACAGATCACCAGATTAGGTGAGCTACTGTTAGAATAAAACACACATAAGTTCATACATTGTAACAACATAAGAATACAGGTCATGGGTTATAGTGATCATAGACATTATGGTTCTGATATCGAGATATCATACAAACATATGACACTATTTACTTGTGTCTGGTATCTTCTTTTGTAATAATTGGTGTCCTCCCTATTTTGTTAGTATTGTTTTTTCAAATAATTTTCGTACAAAGTTAAAATGATGTTGTCATATACAAAAGAACTTTGCAGTAACATGGGACTATGTCTAATGTTAATAAAATATATGCCAATTTATTGAAGAAAATGTTGAAATTTGATTGGGAAGTATTTTGATATGAAACTTCAGTTTGACTTCCATACAGGGTATCACAAAACAAATACTTCTATTTCATAGCAACGCTACTAAGGTTATCTGTCGCTCTGCCCATTTAAAAGGCATTCAGCAGCACCCTACCACGTACCATCCATAATAAAGGATTGACTGTCTCTCTTATAACGCCTTAACCTGTGGGTGAATGTGTTGTGGTATCGCACAGGATCGCCAGCTCAGAAATCTAGAGGTCTACCACTGGACCATCTCGCACCATTTCAAAACAAAAAAAGTTCTATTTTTATTCACCGAATGCGTTCTTTTTTAAGTACTTCAGGCCATTGAACAAAGTTTCACTTAAAAATTCGAACAGAAAAATCTGTTTCAACTAGGGAAAAAAACATTCAGTTTATCTTTACTTCGTCTTGTATTCGACCACTTCAAAATATTTCAAATTCACTCATATAATTGAAAATAAATATAAACTAAACCCACCTACAACCTGTAACTTGATAACAGTGTTGATACTACGACCCCGATGGTAGTCTACTCTACACCGATAGGTTCCTCCATCATCCTTCCGTACAGGTTCAATCTGTAGGAAGGCTGGCCTGTTGATCATGTGAAAGTGAGAGCGATATTCCAGCTGTGGGGCTGACATTTGATGAGCTTCTTTCAGGCTTCCTCTTCGAGCGTCCAGCATGTAGATAGGTTGTGTTGATTCATCTTTATACCACAATACCAGGGCCACTGAGTCGTTCAAAGCAGGCGAGGAAATATCGCACGGGAGAGCCACTCGTCCTTGTTCAACAGCCGTATAAACAATGGATGCTGAGAAGGATGAGAGGAGGCCAGATTTATCATCGGCATTGAAAAGAAATAACATTATTTTTACAAGTAACTTAAAGGTGTGGGTTATTTAATACAAAATATGCATTACAAGCATTGGGACGATAAAATCAATCTTCTTGTTTGTGCCTCCGTTCTGCTGATGAAGAACTTTGATATCTAATCTTATCTTTACGATGTCATTAAAAATATATTACCCAAATCTTTAGTAAATTAAACCAAATCGCTAAATTTATGTGACATTCTTTCAAAAATTGAATACTATATGAAAATTTAGAATATTTTTTATTTGTACCCTTATTAATATAATCAAGCAGTAGTTTGATGTATAATTTTAGTTTTCAATGTATATTTAGCTACCGGTGACAATATATATTTACTTACAAGGTGCTCATAAGTCTACATTTACAAGTGTAATCAATTTTTAAATAAAAAATTAGAAAGTAGGAATGTGAGTATCAAAAAGTTAGAAACCAAGATAGGAATGGGCAGGAATAACATTACAACACTTGCTGAATTTGGAAAAGGGGCAACCTCAAAGTGGGCGTGACCATCGTTCTGGAAATTCCTACTTCCTGTGCATTTTGTAATTTGGTAATTGTTCAAACTAACTGAAAGGTGTATGTAGCTAAATTTCTCTGTTGTAATTTTTTTTCAGCAACCAAGTACAGATACATGTATGTTATCAAATTACGATACCATAACGAAATACATGACATCACAAGAGGGTATTTGATGTCGGAAATGAGTTAGAAAGCTTCAATAGTCAAACTTTGCTTATGAGAGACATTATACCTATCTGACTGGTGAGGGGTGGGCCACAATAATAATAATATCAAAACCACTTATTTTTGAAACATTTAACTTATTGAATATTTAGAAAGGATTAGCTACTGATAAAACTCAATTCATGTCTATAATTTGATGAAAGTTCAAAGTAAAACATGAAGTAGGAGTGGGCAGAAAGATGGCCACACACACTTTGAGGTTGCACTATCAAAAACCACTAACTGTGGTAACGTTATTCCGCCCATTTCTATCTTCTTTTCTTACTTTTTGGTGCTCCCATTCTTACTTTCTAATTTTTTATTTAATTTTTTTGTTTACAATTGTCTCACAGCTTTTTTTTGCTGTTGTATCTCGAGAGTGACAGTGCTTTATGCCTATCTTTCTTGAAACTTTTCTTGGTGCTAAGTCTCGAGAGCGATTAAGCTCTAGGCCTATCCTTCTCGTAGCTTTTCTTGGTGCTAAGTGTCGAGAGTGATTAGGCTCTAGGCTACTTTCTAATTTTTTATTTAATTTTTTGTTTACAATTGTCTCACAACTTTTTTTTTGCTGTTGTGTCTCGAGAGTGATCGAGCTCCAGGCCTATCCTTCTCGTAGCTTTTTTTGGTGCAAAGTCCCGAGAGTGACTAGGCTCTAGGCTTACTTTTCTAGTAGCTTTTCATAGAGCTATCTCTCGATATCTTCTGGATTTTACTAATATCTTTGCTATAGTTTTACTTCCATCTAACCAGGGTGGCAGGTTTTCTTTTGGCTGGATTTCACATATTAAGCATCACTGTTTCTAACCTTATCTCTATTCTTGAAGTAATGCTCCCCCTCACTGGGACAAAAACTTTTCAACATCATCAACATAACATTTTCTTATTTTCTCACATTTTGTTTCCTTGAAAAACATATTTTAAAAATCACAGTCTCAGGTACAACTTTAGATGTCAATAGGTAACACTTAGTTTGAAAACAATGCAAAAGTAAATTATACAACTTATTATTTATGTTTTTGGTCCAGAGCACTGCTATGATATATACATATATATATATAGAGAGAGAGAGACAGAGAGAAAGCTGCTTTGTCCAACACAAAAACCTCTAGTCAGATGTATAGAACTGAAAACGTCCCTTTCAAGAGTTAGATCATATTTAGAACCTAGATCTAGAGAATCTACGTAGTCCACTTTTTTATCTATCTCATACAGCTGTAGGCTGATCACGTAACGCGTGCACATAATCAATCGTGTACCCCCACGTGATATGAGGGTGGGTTGTTACTTGGCAACTCACAGAGCGTGCTCATAATCATAGAATATGGCTACCAGTGTATTGTTAGGTCGTTAGTAATGTTGCGAAATGGTTATTGTTATTACTTGTTGTTACCAAGGTAATAAGTAAAACTAAGAAAAACGCTTTTAGCCAAGGTAGCGTAATCCATTCATTTGCATTTAGGTTTGCATAAAGTGAAGGCCTTTCGAACAATGTTACTCATCAGTCAGATTGACAAATTTGTGGTTTTGTGAAATTTTTGTTTTTACTCTACCGACTTTCTCAAGTGCTTTGGTGGTTTGTTACTCTGCAGATGGTTTTTGTTTACTACTCAACAGTGTGTGTAAAGTGTTTATAAAATTTTATTTACATGCTGTTTGCTTTGTGTTTGAGATTTTACTGCACATCGGGCCTATAAAATATAAAGATAATCATAAACCTTGTTTAAAATTTGGCGGATCTAGCAGTGCATTGCATTGCAATGATACATATATAGTATCATATAACAGTTTAAAAATTGATCTACGGAAGGAAAGAACTCACAGATAGCGAGAGTAAAATGACAATAAATGCCTTTCTTCGAGTGATATAAATAACATGTGGTTAATAATGATATTCATGTGTATCGTATCAGGTACAAAAGAGGAGCCCCCCCCCCAGTGGCACAGCGGTATGTCTGCGGACTTAAACATTAGAAACCTGGTTTCGATACCCGTGGTGGGGAGAGCACAGATAGCTCATTGAGTAGCTTTATGCATAATTACAATCACACGCACAAATGAGGATATGTAGGCGTGGCTATATATGTACAATTATACTTATACATCAAACGATTTTGTGTATTCATGTCAGTAAGTCGTCAGTTAAGTATTCAAAACGACATTCTATTCCACTGCATGATTCATAAGTATGTATACATAAAGTATATGCTAATTGCTGAACGCATAGTAAAGTGTTTACAATTGAGTCATGATAATCATCCTGCCATGCATTCCATTTATAGGTACAACATTACATTTGCAACTGATTATATATATATATAGCACTGGTAACTAAACGTCACAGCTCAAATAAATAACCCATTAAATTGTTCAAACCTATGTTAGGCAAATAGTATGAATTGAATGCATACAGATGGTATTATTCTGACTGCTTTTTTTTATTACTCTATAAGATTATTTGTTGGTTACTTTATATGATTATGTGGCATAAAAATATAAATGCAGATGATCCAAAACATTTGTATATAATAGTGATTTATTCTTCATTTTCCTTAAAAGCTTTTAAACTTATACAAAATGTACTCGGAGCGTAGGAAACAAATATTACGCTTGAGTCTTCTATAAATACGCATGGACACATGTAATTATCCAAATGCTTAGTAATATATACGTTGTGTTTAAAAAAGCACTTTCGTATTTGAAATTAAAGCTATGTCTGTATAAAGAAATGTTATTCAAATCGAAATAATCAAATGAATCAAATAATAAACCTAGAAAATATTTCAAAAATATATTGTACATTGTCTTGGTTGATAAATAATGTTAAGTTTGCAAACTAAAGGTTAGTGATCAGACTAATTTTAACCCAATCAAAAGAAGTTTTATACAAATATCTAAGTTACTCAGGAAACAAAAAAGTACAATTTCCTCATAGACTACCTAGGTGCAGATAAATAGTATTTCTAATGTGGAATACAACATTGTTTAAAATTACCTACATTGGTGCGTAGGCAATTTTTCACTTATGAAGAATTTTTTGGGGCTAAACCCCGCTGCCCCTTCTAGGTTTAGAAAAAACGTTCGGCGGCTATGATTAATAGTAAGAACATTTAAAAATTCACATCGGACATGTCATTTGAGGGTAATATATGTTATTAAATGTGGTATTAGTATCTTAAAAACGGTATAAAAGACCTTAAAGATTAATATCTTCGTGAGTGTATATATATATATACTGTCTTTCACTTAACGTCATCACATTTTATTCCTTTTGTTTTTGTCTTTGGGAAAACACCTGGTGTTCGCGTAGATTTGAAAAAATTCAAAGTTGACACTTTTTCAACGATGCTTCATTAGCCTTTTTTCTCTTCTTTTTATCTCAAAAAATTAACCATTTCGAGAAAGAAATCACATTTGTCTGAAAATGAGTTATAAGAAGAAATGTATATTAATTAATCGTATTTCATAACATATACAGTGTTATAAACAGATGTACATCTTTTGTGTCGTTTTAAGTATTTATATTCTGTATTTTGCTTCATTAGTATGGAGAAAAGTATATAAATAAAGTATCATACTCCTATGTATATACTACATAATTCAATTACCGACGTTGATTCAACTTTAACTGATTTCAAACGTGTATTTCATCAAAATAATGTTCCTAATTACCTAATTAAAAACGTTACTTGAAAAAGTTAATTTAGTGTGTTTTTCTAAGATGTAAGGATGTTTAGAGAAAGTATTATCATAATAAAAAGTGCAATAATCTGAAATGAGTAATTATTTTGAAGAGTGTTGTTTTCTACGCAATACAACACACAAATATATATATTCATTTTAAGGTTAAATCAAATGATGAGCTTGTGACATGATTAAAAAATAACAATAGTTCTCTGTATTCTCAGTTCGATTGGGTTTCGGCAGTTTCTTTTACAGTTACTGGTTTCTATAAACATACAAAATAATCAAGTTTGTAGTATAGTACGTTTAACATATCTTTCTTTACTGATATTATGCGAATTTCTAGTAAGAAGAGCATATTAACAGTGCTAGTAAGTTCGACATAGTCTGAAAGAAAGACTAAGTTTTGGTCAAAATGTTATTTATATCAGTCGATAACGTTTCGCCTGAAACTTTGTGTTCTGCATGTCCATCCGAACTACTGTGTTTTGATAATGACAGAGAGTGCGGACCACATGGTGTGCGGTTCAGATG